TACATATTTCGAAGAGTTGTGTCAAGCTGTTTTCTTTTGGTCCAGATGTGTTTTCTCCAAGTTAATCTTCTGTCGAGATGCATGCCAAGATATTTAGCAGTTTCGTCTTGCGGTATTTGTTCGCCATTAAGTAGAACAGGAGGGCAGTTTCCTTTTCTTAAGGTAAAAGTGACATGGACTGACTTGGTTTGATTAGCCTTTATTCTCCATTGTTTCAGCCATGTTTCAACTTCATTAAGGTGATTTTGCAGGGTTTCCGAAGCGATATCTGGATCCTTATCCACTGCCAGAATTGCAGTGTCATCCGCATAGGTGGCCATGGTGGTATGTGCGTGAGTGGGTACATCTGCAGTAAACAGAAGATACAAAACAGGCCCTAGTATGCTGCCCTGTGGGACTCCTGATTGTATTTCGTACAATTCTGATGTCTCACCGTTGAACTTGACTTCATAACATCTTTTGCTTAGGTAACTCTCAAGTATTGGAAAAAAGGAGTGTGGCAGAGACTTCTTGATTTTGTACAGTAGACCCTCTTGCCAGACCTTGTCAAAGGCCTGACTAATATCCAGGAATGCAGCCGAACAATATTGCTTGGTTTCAATTGTATGACCGATAGTATCTGCCAATCTGTGTACTTGCTCGACGGTACCATGGCTATGTCGAAAACCAAATTGATGTTCTGGAAGTACTCTATCTAGGTGTGGATTGAGACGATTGATGATAATCCTTTCAAAGATCTTACTGAGAAGAGGGAGAAGACTAATTGGTCGGTATGACGACACTTCCTCTACAGGTTTGCCAGGTTTAGGGATCATAACAACTTGAGCAATCTTCCACTGGCTTGGATAATATGAGAGCCTCAGGCAGGCATTAAAAATGTTTACTAAGTAGATTATTCCTTTTCTCGGCAGGTTTTTCATCAGCGTGGAGTCTATAAGGTCATATCCAGGGGCTTTTCCAGATTTCAGAGCCATAATCATCTTATCTATCTCTTTAGGACTTACTGGTTTAATAGGTGCACAAAGCTGGTAAGGAGATTTTAAGTAGGTTATAATTTCTTTATCAGTTTCTGGGTTATTACTGGGGAAAGGTTTGAAGACACTCTGAAGATATTCAGCAAATACTGTTGCTTTTTCTAGATCGGATCTAGCCCAGTCCCTGTCCTGTTTCCTTAATGGTGGAACATGGATATCCGGTCGTTTCAATTTCTTTGTTGCGCACCAAAGTGAATACTTGGTGTCTTTATGGGGAGTTAAGTGGGCCAATTTACTCTGCACTGTGTGATTCTCCAGATCTTTGATAAGTATCTTTATTTCTTCTGTAATTTTATTAAACTTGGTTTTATCTGAAGGATACCTTGTTTGTTGCCATTCTTTCCTCAATTTTCGCCGTTCTTGGACTTTGTCTCTTATTAGTTTGGGGTAGTTTTTCAGTTTTAATTTAGGGTTTTTTTGTGTAGGTGTAGTTAGACAGGCGGCAGTAAGAATAGCTGTATTGAATTTTTGAATGCTTATTTCTAGGTCCTCTGGCGATTTTAGTTTAATTTTTAGATCTAATGTTTCACTGACCATTTCTTGAAATTGTTTCCAGTTAGTTTTATGATAAAACCGATTGCTTTGAATTTTTGCAGGCGTAAAGTTAGAAGTTTGTATTAAATAATAGGGTACTTTTTATCCCGGAAAAATTTGATATTCTCCAGGAAAAACGAAATTATTAATAAATATATAGATGGCGCTGTGTGTATATACATAGGCTACTTTTTATAATTTTGTGACGCGAGCTAAGCAGCGGGTAAAAGCTAGTTTAATATAAAATCGGTCAAATCACTTTTGACTACATTTTCGTGCGCATATGAAAATTTTGTTTGATCATGTCTTCATTTAGGGATTTCGGAAAATCTTCTCTTAGCTAGTGGTTCTCCAGAATCTGAAAAAGCTAGAAGGCATTCCTTCTAGCTTTTCACCTCTCAGTAACTTATAAATAGTAAATTGTTAAACATTATAAAAGAGAGTGAGTCTATCAAGAATTCCTGACTTCATAGAAACCTTAAGCCTTTGACTGTCATCAGAAAACTGTTGAAGACAAATCTTCTGCTAACTCCAGTCACCGGTGACGGTGACCTACGTTGTAGAGGTAGTTAACGTGTTAAAAAACCCGGTATCAAATACCCAGTAGGTATTATTTTAGAGATTCCTAAAAAAGTACTGGGTTTACTAGGACTCCGGCTCGAAGTGCAGGAGTAGGAACGGGACGGTTTTCAGTCAGGAAGAGTCTGACACTCCCTCCCGCCTCACCCGGGTGTTATAAGTCATTCAATGATGTTCCCCCCTCAAAATAAAAAGTAGTATTTTCTCGGAGACAAAATCATCAAAGTGGTTTTAGTTTCAGGACGACGGCTTCTCATGCATGAGAGTGCGGAGTCTAAACCTACCAGTGACAAGTACAATGTGCCTTTTTCCGAGTAATATGTAGGTACTTTCTCAGATTATTTAGACACCACTGACAAACGGTGAAGGAAAACATCGTTAGGAAACCTGGGCTTATAATTTCTTTTATAAGTTTGAAATCGCCAACCTGCATTGAGCAAACGTGGTGAATAATGCTCAAACCTTCTCTGTGTGAGAGCCTTTTGCTCAGCAGTGGACACTCATAGGCCGTTGATGATGATGATCAATCAAAGGCGTAAGTGACTATCGTAATAAAAAACCACAAGGCTGAAACAC